CAAACTTCGAGTTGTCTGTCCATAACACTTTTTTCCAATCTTCCTCTGTCCATTGTCTGTGTTCTTTTGCCCATCTTAATCTTGTCTTTTTATTGGCCAGTCTGAGATATGTATTTTTCTTTGCAACTCTGCCTAGAAGGTCAGCATCCCAGAGTTGCCTCTTCACTGTTGACGTTGAGACTGGTGTTTTGTGGGTACTATTTAATGAAGCTGCCAATTGAGGACCTGTGATGCGGCTGTTTCTCAAACTAGACACTCTAATGTATTTGTCCTCTTGCTCAGTTGTGCACCGGGGCCTCCCACTCCTCTTTCTATTCTGGTTAGAGCCAGTTTGTGCTGTTCTGTGAAGGGAGTAGTACACAGCGTTGTACGAGATCTTCAGTTTCTTGGCAATTTTTCGCATGGAATAGCCTTCATTTCTCAGAACAAGAATAGACGGACGAGTTTCAGAAAAAAAAATATTTATTTCTGGCCATTTTTAGCTTGTAATCGAACCCACAATTGCTGATGCTCCAGATACTCAACTAGTCTCAAGAAGGCCAGTTTTATTGCTTCTTTAATCAGCACAACAGTTTTCAGCTGTGCTAACATAATTGCAAAAGGGTTTTCTAATGATCAATTAGCCTTTTAAAATGATAAACTTGGATTAGCAAACACAACGTGCCATTGGAACACAGGACTGATGGTTGCTGATAATGGGCCTCTGTACGCCTCTGTAGATATTCCATTAAAAACACAGCCGTTTCCAGGTACAAGAGCCATTTACAACGTTAACAATGTCTACACTGTATTTCTGATCAATTTTGATGTTTTTTAATGGACAAAAAAATTGCTTTTCTTTCAAAAACAAGGACATTTCTAAGTGACCCAAAACTTTGAACGGTAGTATAATTGTGTCAGGTATTGGGTAAGGAGCATTCTAGACCATATGAACTAACCAGGGAATAACGTGGGTAAGGAGTATTCTAGACCATATGAACTGACCAGGGAATAACGTGGGTAAGGAGTATTCTAGACCATATGAACTAACCAGGGAATAACGTGGGTAAGGAGTATTCTAGACCATATGAACTAACCAGGGAATAACGTGGGTAAGGAGTATTCTAGACCATATGAACTAACCAGGGAATAACGTGGGTAAGGAGTATTCTAGACCATATGAACTGACCAGGGAATAACGTGGGTAAGGAGTATTCTAGACCATATGAACTGACCAGGGAATAACGTGGGTAAGGAGTATTCTAGACCATATGAATTGACCAGGGAATAACGTGGGTAAGGAGTATTCTAGACCATATGAACTGACCAGGGAATAACATGGGTAAGGAGCATTCTAGACCATATGAACTGACCAGGGAATAACGTGGGTGCTAATAACTCAGGCACATTGATATTAGTTGACATCAACATTCACACTGTCCTTGCATGGGGGACAATCCAAACTTCGACTTGAAGTCTCCCATTGGCATCAATGCATGACAAAGTGAACATTTGATTTGACGTTAGGATGTAGTTAGATGTAATTAGTGTCATGCTCACTGGTTGAAGTTGAGTGCGATGACGTAGTCGGGGGTGACAGAGACGGTCCAGTCACACTCTCGTCCGTGAGGATACGGCTCTGGGTACTCTGGGGACAGGATCAGCCCAGTGGGGCCCGTCAGGTTCCCCCCACATGGAGCTATGATACAGGAAGAGAGAGGAGAGGAAACATGATGATACAGGAAGAGAGAGGAGAGGAAACATGATGATACAGGGAGAGAGAGGAGAGGAAACATGATGATACAGGAAGAGAGAGGAGAGGAAACACATGATGATACAGGGAGAGAGAGGAGAGGAAACATGATGATACAGGGAGAGAGAGGAGAGGAAACATGATGATACAGGGAGAGAGGAGAGGAAACGATGATACAGGGAGAGAGGAGAGGAAACAATGATGATACAGGGAGAGAGAGGAGAGGAAACATGATGATACAGGGAGAGAGAGGAGAGGAAACATGATGATACAGGGAGAGAGAGGAGAGGAAACATGATGATACAGGGAGAGAGAGGAAACATGATGATACAGGGAGAGAGAGGAAAGGAAACATGATTATACAGGGAGAGAGAGGAAACATGATTATACAGGGAGAGAGAGGAAACATGATGATACAGGGAGAGAGAGGAAACATGATGATACAGGGAGAGAGAGGAAACATGATGATACAGGGAGAGAGAGAGGAGAGGAAACATGAGAAGTAGAGACTGATAAAGAGAACAAGATCACATTATAAAGTAGTTCCAATGATGTAGGAGCAGTAAGGCACTGAAGAACCCATTTACCTGCTGAATCACACTTTCACAATCCTCGTCACCAGGCTAATCTGCTAACACATAGCAGACCGCTAGATGAGATTAAACTGTCACTAACTTCTGTGGGCATGTGGTTTTCCTATTGAGCTAAAAAAAATATGCATTGTGGTGGGCTAAATCACCTGAAATATCCTATATGGATACCTGACTAAATAACTGCAGGATCCAATCCCTTGGCTTCATGTGCTGAATTATATTACCATAGCTAGCTCTAGCTTCTGAGGGTATGTGGTTTGCTATCGAGCCAAACAGACCCCTGTGTGTATACTGTATTGGGGTAAGTCACTAAAGAACTCCTTTGTGGATGGGGCCCAAACTGTATTTGACCAAGTCAGTGTAGTCAGAGCCCATATAATATATTTGGCTAAGTCAATAAAGGTGCCATTAAGCGGTTCAACAGTATTGAGACTCCGCTAATGCCTGTCGACATTAAACCCTGTTAGGTTTTCACCTGTGAACCTTTTGGAGCCAGGAACACCCACGACTCATGACCTCTCTCCCTCTGTTTGTGTTTTCAAAGGAACGTTCAAACGAATTAATCCTGGCCCTAATTAAACAAGGAAGCTAATTACAATGTATGAATTGCTGTTGTTAACTAGCGACTCCCCCCCTCTCTCTCTCCCCCCCCCTCTCTCTCCCTCTCTCTCTCTCTCTCTCTCTCTCTCTCTCTCTCTCTCTCTCTCTCTGTCTCTCTCTCTCTCTGTCTCTCTGTCTCTGTCTCTCTCTCTCTCTCTCTCTCTCTCTCTCTCTCTCTCTCTCTCTCTCTCTCTCTCTCTCTCTCTCTCTGAGCGGAGCCCAACGTCAGTCTGTCCTTCTGTCTGGGAGGCTGTCTGAGTCTGTCTAGCTGTCACAGAGAGGATCTAAATCACACGTCTCTACTTTGTCTCTGGCTGTGTCCCAATTGGCCCCCCCCCCCCCCCCCCCCCTTATATCTCCATCTAGGGAATAGGTGGCCATTCTGGAGGTAGCCTCTCTGTGGGCTGAGAATCAGACAGCTGACAGATACCCAGGGGACAGAAAGACAGACAGACAGAGTCAATTGAGTTGGTTGTCACTGAGGAGGATCTACTTAGGGTTTTATAAAGTAGCTGTGTCAGAAAGTGGTAGAAAATCTACTGGCCGGTATTGAGCTGCGCAGATAGGACGAGTACTGCAAACTAGTTGTGGTTGTAGGAAAGGCTATGTCAGGTAACAGAGAAACTAAATGGTATGGCCATCATCTGGAGTACTGTCAGATAACAGATAAACGAAATGGTATGGCCATCATCTGGAAGTACTGTAGCAAGAACAGAGGGAAAATAAATGGTTTTGGCCCCTCATCTGGAGTACTGTAGCCCGGTAACAGAGAAACTAATGGTATGGCCATCATCTGGAAATATTTTAGCAGGTAACAGAGAAAACTAAATGGTTGGCCATCATTGGAGAGTACGTAGCAGGTAACAGAAGAAACTAAAGGTTATGGCCATCATCTGGGAGTACTGTAGCAGGGGGAACAAAAAGAAACTAAATGGTATGGCCATCATCTGGAGTACTGTAGCAGGGGAAAGAGAAACTAAATGGTATGGCCCTCATCTGGGAGTATGTCAGATAACAGGAGAAAACTAAATGGTTATGGCCATCATTGGAGTACTGTAGCAGGTAACAGAAAAAACTAAATGGTATGGCCATCATCTGGAGTACTGTAGCAGGTAACAGAGAAACTAAATGGTATGGCCATCATCTGGAGTATAAGTGTAGCATGTGTAACAGAGAAAACTAAATGGTATGGCCATCATCTTGGAGTATACTTCAGATAACAGATAACTAAATGGTATGGCCATCATCTGGAGTACTGTAGCAGGTAACAGAGAAACTAAATGGTATGGCCATCTTCTGGAGTACTGTAGCAGGTAACAGAGAAACTAAATGGTATGGCCATCATCTGGAGTACTGTAGCAGGTAACAGAGAAACTAAATGGTATGGCCATCATCTGGAGTACTGTAGCAGGTAACAGAGTAACTAAATGGTATGGCCATCATCTGGAGTACTGTAGCAGGTCTTGTTGTGGCAGGTTCAGTTGGTAAACACATTGGGTGACTGGGTGTTACCTGTAGGTAGGTAGGTATCGTTGGTACAGACTGGGTTGTAGGTAGGTACCGTTGGTACAGACTGGGTTTTACCTGTGCAGGTGGGGGGTTGGGTTAACATGTCTTACCTGTGCAGGTTGGGTTAACATGTCTTACCTCTGCAAGTGGGGGGGTCTGGCTGTGTTCTTACCTGTGCGGATTGGGGGTTGGGTTAACATGTCTTACCTGTGCAGGTTGGGGGTTGGGTTAACATGTCTTACCTGTGCAGGTGGGGGGGTCAGGCTGCCAGAAGAAGCGGCTGATGATCTCTGTGCAGGTGATCTTGGTGGCCCCCTGCAGGACGTAACCGGGATCACACTGGAACAGCACACTGTCTCCAGGCTCCCTGCTGTCCCCACTACGAGTCCCGTTGGCGGGCAGACCGGGGTCGTTACATGACGTAGCAGTGGACACTGGAGACAGAGGGGGAAAGAAAATAATAATCAGATGGTAAGAAGACTGTCTCTTTCCTGCTGTACATAGGCAGTTCTAACTGAATCCTAATTGGAAATATTTTTCCAATTTTTGTACATAAAAAAGTATAATCATTTCTAGGTATGCAGAATAGCTGCTTCAACATATATCAATAAACAATATACATACACTAGAATATCAAAATGAACAGTTAGAATGAAGCTTTTAATAAATGTAGCGTCCATCCAAAACTCCCCCTGGGAACCATTGGCTGTAGCTACAATAAAGATGCATAGGTAACGTTGTGATCGAGTCCCAGCTCTTATACAGAACAATTCATTGTAAAGTTGGTTAACACTCATACATACCCCTTTTCCTTCCATTGCATACAATATATCATTCGACCTCTTACCAGAGAACTGCAGAGCGAAGCCCTGTTTGGAGGTGAAGAAGTCGGTGGTGAACTGGAGGCTGACGGCGTTGAAGGTGCTGTGGGCGTCAGGGGGAAGGGCCGAGCCGCTGAGCTCCCTCAGGAGGACCCCTCCGTCCTGGGGACCGTCCCAGATACGCAACACATCATGGACCTCCTCCGTATGGAATACCAGGAAGTGGAGACTATGGAGAGAGGAAGAGGAGTTAGTCATGGAGGCAACGGGGAGGAGAGGGGAAGTACAGATAGGAAAAACAGAAGAATTAGATAAGATCAAGAGGGGGACAATTCAGTGTCATTGAAGAGGGGGGGGGGGGGGGGGGGGGTGGGGGGTTTTGGAGAGGTGGAAGGTGGAGAGGGGTGGAGAGTTGGATAGAATGGAGAGAAAGAGAGGAGGAGAGGAGGGAGGAGGAGGGAGGGGGAGAGGACGGGAGGCGGTGAGAAAGAGAGGATGGAGAGGGACGCGCGAGGAGGACAGGTGAGAAACGATAGGATAAAGAACGGGAAGGGAAAAGGAGTGTATTGTAAAGAGGGAGGAGTATGAGGCGGAGGGGAGGAGGAGTGAGGAGGAGGAAGGGGGGAGGAGGAGAGGAGATGAGAAGAGAGGAGGAGAGGAGGTGAGAGAAGAGAGTAGGAGAGAGGAGAGAGAGGAGGAGAGGAGGTGAGAAGAGAGGAGGTGATAGAGAGGAAAAGGGTGGAGAGGGTGAGGAAGAGAGGAGGAGAGGAGAGGAGGAGAGGAGGTGTGCAAAGAGGAGCGGGGTGAGAGGATGGTGAGGAGGAGAGAGGAGGGACGCGAGGAAGGTGAGAGACGCGAGAGAGACGGAGAGGAGAGAGAGGAGGTGAGAGAGCGGAGGAGAGGAGGAGGAGGAGGATGCGAGGAGGATGAGAAGGTAAGGGGAAAGAGAGGAGGACGCGATGGAGGATGAGGGTGGTGGACGAGAGTGAGAAGAGAAGAGAGGAGGAGAGGGCGCGGTAAGAAGTGAAGAGCAGGAGAGGCAGGTCAGGACGAGAGAAGGAAGACGGAGGTGTTGAGAGAAGATGAGGCTGGAGGGGAGAGGAGGAGAAGGAGGCAGAGGGATCGGTGAGAAGAGAGGAGGAGAGGAGGATACGGAGGGGGGAGAGCGAGGTGAGGAGTGTGTGAGAAGAGAGGAGGAGAGGAGGAGAGGAGGAGAGGAGGTGAGGAAGAGAGAGAAGCGAGGGAGGACGACGGAGGAGAGGATGTGAGGATAAGAGGACTGTGTGGTGAGGAGGAGGAGAGGAAGGTGAGAGGAGGAGAGGATTTGGAAGGGAGGTGAGGCGGTGCGGAGAGATAGGATATTGCATAGAAGAGGGGGAAAACGGAGTGACTTTGTACAGACGGAGGAGGTGGACGGAGGAGGAGAAGGACGCGAGAGAGAGGAGAGAGGAGGAGGAGAGGAAGAGAAGAGAGGAAGAGAGAGGAGGTGAGGAGTGAGAGAAGAGAGTGTAGGAGAGGAGGAGAGGAAGGACGAGGATGGTGAGAAGGAGAGGAGGTGAGAGAGGAGTTGCGAGATTGTGTGAGAGAATGAGATGAGGAGGGGGATGAGGAGAGGAGGAGAGGAGGGGGAGAATTGAGGAGCGTCGTGGAGAGGAATGCCAAGGTTGAGGAGGGAGGGAGAGGAGGACGAGGAGGTGAGAGAAGGGAGGAGGAGGGAGGAGAGGAGGATGAGGAGGGAGGAGAGAGGAGGAGAGGAGGAGGAGGATGGAGAGAGGAGAGGAGGAGAAAGAGAGGAGGGGACGAGGGACGAAGGGCGGAAGGATGCACGAGGGGTGTGAGAATGAGAGGGAGGGAGAGGAAAGGTAAAGAAGGAGGAGGGAGAGGAGGAGAGGAGGCGAGGCGGTGAGAAGAGAGGAGGAGAGGAGGAGAGAGGAGGAGGAGGAGTGAGAAGAGGAGGAGGAGAGGAGGAGAGGAGTGCGTAGGACAGTGGTGAGAAGATAGGGGAGGAGGGAGGAAGAGGAGGAGGAGGAGGTGAGGAAAGAGAGGAGGAGAGGAGGAGAGGAGGTGAGGAGGTGAGGAGGAGGGAGAGGAGGTGGAGAGGAGGAGAGGAGGAGAGGGAGGTGAGGAAGAGATGGGTCGAGGAGAGGAGGAAGAAGGAGGAGAGGAGGTGAGAAGAGAGGAGGTAGAGGAGGAGGGAGGAGGAGGGGAGGAGAGAGAGGAGAGACGATAGGATAAAGAGGAAAAGGGTGATGGCAAAGAGGGGAGGAGGAGGAGGAGGGAGGAGGAAGGGAGACGAGGGGAGAAGAGAGGGAGGACGAGGAAGAGAACGCAGGTGAGAGACAGCAAGAGGTAGGGAGAGGAGATGAGTGGAGGAGACGGGAGCTGGGAAGGTAGACGGATGAGAAGAGGAGGCAAGGAGAGGAGAAGGGAGGACGGAGGGGTGAGAAGGAAGAAGAGGAAGAGGAAGAAGAGAGGAGGAGGAGGAAGGGGAGGATGAGAGGAGGGAGGGAGAAGAGGAGGGAATAGGCGGTGAGGGGAGCGGAGGAGAAGAGAGGAGGAGGAGAAGGACGGGTGAGAAGGGGCGAGGAGGAGAGGAGGAGAAAGGAGGAGAGGAGACGAGAGGAGCGGGGTGAGAAGAAGAGGAGAGAGAGGAGGAGAGAGGAGAGGCTAGAGAAGGAGAGGAGGAGGACATCAGAGGACAATGAGAGAAGAAGAGGAGGAAGAGGAGGAGAGAAGCAGAGGATCTAGAGAGGAGCTGCATCTGAGGAGGAGAGTGCAGAAGAGACTTAGATCTCACCCCCGCACGACGTAAGAGAGGAGGACGACGAGGAGGAGAGGAGGACGAGGCAGGTCCGGGTGAGAAGAGAAGAGGAGAGGAGAGATGAGGAGGACGTGGGGAGCGGATGGTGGCATGAAGAGAGGAGGAGAGGAAGAAGACGGAAGTTGTGAGGATGCGGATGAGACAGAGAAAGAAAGGACCGAGGAGAAGAAGAGGACGGCAAGGAGAGGAGGAGGTGAGGAAGATGAGGAGGAGAGGAGAAGGAGGAGGTGAGGAGGTGAGAAGAGAGGACGGAGGAGAGGAGGTGAGAAGAGAGGAGGAGAGGAGGAGAGGAGGAGAGAAGGAGAGGAGGTGGAGAAGAGAGGAGGAGAGGAGAGACCGAGCTGAGGGAGGAGGAGAAGGAGAGAAGGAGGAGAGGAGATGAGAGAAGAGAGGAGGAGAGAGGAGAGGAGGGAGGAGAGGACATGGTGAGAAGAGAGGGAGGAGAGGACTTGAGGAGAGGAGGGAAGAGGAGGGGAGAGGAGCGAGAGGAGGTGAGAGAGAGAGGAGAGGAGCGAGGAGGATGGTGAGAAGAGAGGAGGAGAGGAGAAGAGGAGATGAGAGAGGGTTGAGTATAGCGAAGGAGGAGAGGAGGTGAGATGGAGAGGAGGAGAGGAGGAGAGGAGGAGAGGAGGGTGAGACAACGTAGAGAGGAGGAGTGAGAAGGAGAGAGAGAAGGAGAGGAAGAGGAGAGGAGGGAGAGGATAGGTGAGAGAAGGACGAGGAGGACGAGGAGACGAGAGGAAGGTGATGAGAAGAGAGGGGAGAAGGAGGAGGAGAGGAGATGAGAGAAGAGAGGAGGAGAGGAGGGAGAGGTAGGGAGGATGGAGCGAGGAGGCAGAGGCAGGAGGTGAGAGAGCGGGAGGAGAGGAGGGAGAGCGAGGAGAGTGAACGGTGAAAGGAGAAGAGGAAGTGAGGAGGAGGGAGGAGAGGAGTGGTGAGAAGAGAGGAGAGGAGAGGAGAAGAGGGAGCCCGTTGAGGAAGGTGAGAAATAGAGAGAGGAGAAGGAGGTGATGAGAGAGGAGGAGAGGAGGAGAGGAGGAGATGGGATGCGAGGAGGAGAGGGAGGAGGAGGAGGGAGAAGAGAGGAGGAGGAGGAGAGGGTAAGGATGGAGAAGGAGAGGTGAGGGGTATAAGAAGAGAGGAGGGGTGAGGGGGAGAGGAGGTGAGAGGTGAGAAGGAGGAGGAGAGGAGGAGTGAGGAGGAGGAGGAGGGAACGGATAGAAGATAGATAAAAGAGGGAAAGGAGAGTGATTGTAAAGAGGGGAGGAGGAGGGGAGAGGAGGAGAGGAGGAGGAGGGAGGTGAGAAGAAGAACGCGTAGAGGAGGAGAGGACGGGAGAGAAGAAGAAGAAGAGAGGAGGAGGGGACGGAAGGCTGGAGAGGACGCGATAGAGGAGGTGAGAGAGAAGGAAGGTGAGCGAGGAGGTTGGACGAGGTGTTGAGAGAAGATGAGGAGGAGAGGGTATGAGGCAGGAGAGGAGGGGAGAGAGGGATGGGTGGAGGCGAAGAGGTGAGGAGGAGAGGAGGAGAAGGAGGAGGGAGAGGATGGAAGAGGAGTTGAGAGAAGACGAGGAGGCAGACGGAGGAGAGAGACAGGTGAGAAGGAACGAGGGGAGAGAAGAGAGGAGAGGAGGATGAGGAGGAGAGGAGAGACGTGAGAAGAGAGGAGGAGGAGGGAGGGAGAGGAGAGGAGGAAGGAGAGGAGGAGAGGAAGTGGCGTGGAGGAGGGTGAGAATAGGAAGAGAGTAGGAGAGGAGGTAAGAAGTACGAGGAGGAGAGGGAAGGAGAGGAGGAGGAGGAGGAGAGGAGGTGAAGAGAGAGAGGAGGCGAGAGGAGGAGAGGAGGACGAAGGAGGAGAGGAGGAGATGGGAGGAGAGGGGTGCAGGACGGACGAGGATCTGGTGAGGAGGTAGAAGAGAGGTAGGAGAGGAGGGATGGAGGACGAGAGAGGAGAGAGGAGTGAGGAAGAGAGAGGAGAGGAGGAGAGGAGGTGAGGAGGTGAGGTTGGAAGATGGAAGGAATGAGGCTGACACCATGATTCAACATACTGTATGTATTTTCCCAGTCAACACAACCTAACAATTCACTTTTATAGTCCCAGTCTAGAAAACCTAACCAGAAACGAAAGACAATACTCTCAGCATTCTTCAGTAGCAGACCAGTGTTGGTTATGAGATATACAGTGCCTTGCAAAAGTATTCACCCCCCCCTTGGCATTTTTTTCCTCCTATTTTGTTGCATTACAACCTGTAATTTAAATGGATTTTTGTTTGGATGTCATGTAATGGACATACACAAAATAGTCCAAATTGGTGAAGTGAAATTAAAAACTAAAATAAACAAAAAAATAAATTACGGAAAAGTAGTGCGTGCAAATGTATTCACCCCCTTTGCTATGAAGCCCCTAAATAAGATCTGGTGCAAACAATTACCTTCAG